TTCGTAGTTACTAACGGCAACTCGCCTTGAGCGTGATCGACGACGAACTTGGGAATACGAGCGGTCTGAAGGACAGGCTCCGCGGACAAATCGGGGTAAGCACTATAGCACTGAGTGACGGATGTACGATGGGGCCTCCAGCGGAGAGGGAGTATGCAGTCGAACCGGTGGGTGTTGAAACGATCAACCCGTCTGACTGTAGGGCGAGGATACACGGTATCAGCTGCGTTCGTTCGTGACAGGTCAACAAGGGAAGAAACTTACAACAGCCTCTGTGAGATGCTGGCCGTCGACGAAGACGTCAATGGTGTTGAGATGCGGGCTCGAACCTCGGTGCAGCGCGATCTCGTTCATGACTTGCCAGTCTGCGCGAGAGACATGAGTGTCAGGGTGCTTGACAAGCCAATTGCGCGTAGAACGAACCGTCGCAGTGGGTGTCGATCTGGTCGCCCCCCGAGTCTTGGAACGAGCACGAGAGGCGCATTCGGTGGAGGACGGTGATGCGTCCGGCAAATGCGCTGTCGATGGCTTTTGTGTAATCATCGATGTCTATGTTGGGTAGTGTTGGTGAGACAGCAAGGGGGAAGCACGCGTGGCAGGTACTCACGGAATGGGAGCAAGAACCCCAAGGTGCCCATAGAGAAGCTGAGGACCGGGGGTACGGCGCCGACTTTAAACAGTGAAGATGCATGGAGGATTGTGCCGTCACCTCCGAGGGTGATTACAAGGTCGATGGGTTCTGCATTTGGACCTATTGCGAAGTTGAGAAGGGACTGAATGGTGTTGACCACTGGCGTATAGAACGCACCTGGCTTCCAGACCTTGACACCCTCCGGTATATCCGGGCGATCCTCGTGGTAGATTTGGACATCGGGGTACTTCTCGCGAATGTATCTACGACGCCTTGTGAGCAGACACGTTGGTGAATGGAGGGGCAGGAGGGGATACGTACGACAGCAGGGTGTCAATAGCGTCAATGACAGGCTTCGTGCGGAGCTTGTTGACGATGAGAACGGAGCTCGGAGAGAGGCCGTTGGCTACGCGTCTAGCTTGTAGGATATTCAGCAAGAGAAGATGTGAGGGAAGAGACCCGGGACGGAACGCGGAGTGAGGGTATTATGCCGGACGTAGCCGCCATCTAAGATTAAGCCCGGGAGAGGTAGGACATGGAAGAGGAGATATAGGTACGTACGTTGCGCATCTATATCTCGGTACTCCGCCAACAATCTGCCTTGGAGGTGCTACGCGCGGCCGGACATGGACGGCGTGAAGCAGACGGCGGGAGGCCAGGCGGGACGAGCCAGCGCTGCAGGCGGAAAGAGATGAGCAGGCGAGGAACCTCCACATCGCTGTATGGTCTGGTCGCTGAGGAAGAGGCGAGATCGATGAAGAGGGAATGAGTGGAGTGGGCTAGGTCAGAGCGTTGACGGTGCTGGTGGGACCCGTTGCGATCTGACAGAGTGAGGTGCGAGAAGACAGGAGCAAGGCGGGCCAGAGCTCGCGAGCAGAATCGGCCGCTACGTGGACGTCGACGTGTCCGTGAGTGAGAAGAGAGCGAGACGAGCGGTAGAGAAGAGACGAAGGCAGGACGAAGGCCAAGGACGGTCCGTGGACGAGCTGGATCAAGTCAAGTGCTCGCTCCGAGGCGCCCACGACGTCAGTGGGAAGGTGAATACAATGACAAGTAGTGGCAAGTTCATACAACGTACGCGTTCGGATACAAAACAACTGGTACATAGAGCACACATTGGATACACTTTCGATACAAATGAGTGAGGGGACACTACGCGTCGACATCCGCGAGCAAGCCAAACATGCCGCCCCTCGCGCCGCCGCTCTTCGCGGGACTCGCCTTGGGGACTACTGCCTGCGCCTTCGCCCTCTTGTCCTTCTTCTTCTGCGCCCTCGCACCGAATGCGTCCTCGAGCCCGTCCACGCACGCCGCCCACACGGACTCTGTGGGCTCCTCCGCAGACAGCCGCGTCCGCCCGCTGAGCAGGGCATGGCACCGCGCGCCCGACATCTTCCGTCCCGCGCTGCCCAACCCAGGCGCGAGCAGCAGCACCTGCGCGAGATGCTCGATCGCGTCCAACGCCGTCAGCACCTGCGCGACCAGCTGAACATGTCGCTCCGCGACCTCGACACTTTCCCGTGCGTCTTCGCCGTTTTCTGCCTGTGCTGCTCCTGGTCGCAGGTCCGGCCCCAAGATCGACGCGAGGACTGCCTTGGCCTCCGCCTCTGCCCACCGCTCGACCTCCCTTGCCTTCACGCCCGGATTCTCCTTCGCGCGTCTGTCCATCCTGCTGACAACCCACCGCACCGCCAGCACACCCAGTAGACTCTCATCCGGCAGTCGTGCCACGCTCGCGGTGTCTGACGCGAGCGCGCGCAGTAGGAGGGTCCGACGCGCCTGCGCCGGCCAGAGCTGGGGTGGAGAACGCGGGTTGTGCGTGTCCAGCGGCACTTGCTGCAGGAGGTCTGCCAAAGGTGGGACCAAAATCTCTTCCGGCGCGAGTCGCGTCCCTCGCCGAACGTACTCCGTGATGATTTTGGACCGTGTATGCGCACCTGTCGTGGACGTTGCAGCTACCGACAGCGGCGGACGTGCCTCTTCGTTCGCATCCTCTTCGTCCGAGCCATCAAGCTGCTTGAGGGCACCTCGTAGTCGCGCCAGGGGATCTCGCGCCGTACGACCGACGACTTCCTCATCCTCGTCCTCGTCTTCTTCTACAACATCGACCAGTTCATCCTCATCCTCCTCATCCTCTTCATCCTCATCCTCCGCTTCTGGTTCCGGCTCACACGCAGTCGGCAACCCCACACCCGCATCCAACACCGCATATGTCCACAACCTCACCTCCCTTCCGACGCTCCGCTGTACGCACTCCTTGTCCGGGTCCTCCAGGAAGGTCCGCGGCCACATCGTCCCTGTGTGAAGCGTGTCGAGTATATGTGGATCGAGCTGACCTCGCCGGTACGCCACCGCATATCTCTCCCGGACCTCCTCCTCCGCCTCCGCCATCGCCTCATCGTCCTTCTCCGCCGACCCATCTTCCGCCACCGCCAGCGCCGCAAGTCGCGCGTTCACCACCCCCGAGAGGCTCGTGAACAGCGGGCATGCTTCAGGCACATGCAACGGGCACAGCTCTGACACCCACTTGAAGCCGCCTTCGCCTTCGCCATCCTCCGGGACATCTTCGACCTTCGGAATCGCATACTGCAGCGTCGCCTCTGCGATCCTCTCCACAACCGCCTCCCGCTCTCCGGTCGCAAACGAGTCCAGCGGACGCACGAGCAGTGCCGTCACTGCCGCGTCGATCAGCTCCATTACGCTCCCAATCGCCCTCTTCCCCCGCTTTCTGCCCGCGGCCGCCGTCCCCGTACCGCCAGCCGCGCCAAACGCGGCAGCAAGGATCCCGCTCAGTGTCTTCGCCACCCTCTGGATCCGCTGGCCATGCGTCATCCCCCGGTCGAAGAACAGCCTCTGGAGGTTCGCGCGCGATTTGCTCCTGATCTCCGCCGTCGTTGCTGGCGGCGGGGCGGTGTCGTCCGACGCGTTCGGCGCGCCGGTGAAGTCGTTCCCGAGGAACGCACCGAGCAGCGGGAGAAGCGAGACCGGGATCCCGAGGTGCGCAGCGATCGTCCCGGGCTCGTACACGGCGAACGTGAGCGCAAGCTCGCCGTCCGTGTCCGTCGCGGTGAGGTCCGGGAGAGCATGGGGCGGGAGGATGCCCCATCCCGCCTTGACGGCCGTATTCGTCTCCGTCACGGCCGCACGCCTCTTGCGTCCCTTGCCCTTCTTCACGACCTGGAACCCATCCTCGTCCAAATCCTCGGTCTCCGCGACGGATGCGGAGTACACGCTTCCCTCGGCATCCCACGGTGCGGCGGTGGTAGCAGTGGAAGTCAACGTCCACAGCATCTCGTCGAGTGGTACGTACCCCGCGTAGCCCTCCGCGTTCAGCACCACGAAGTCCGAGTCCCGTCCGGCCACGAACGCACCCAACCTCCCGGCGAGCGCCACGGCGTACGGGTCGCCTTCCTCGTCGGCAAAGTACACCTGCAGCGGCCCCTGTCCCTGTCCTGCTTGCTGTTCTGTCCGAGCCCCGTTCCGATTGGGCGCGGGCGGGGGTGGTGTGGAGGTAGGGGAGAGGGTCGAGGCTAGATGGAGGAGGGTATCGACGCAGACACTGTATGCGAGCGGGGGCAGCATCGCAGTTTCGCGGAGGAAGCGTGGCGCGGCGCGGGCCTGGGGCGAGGTGCGGAAGAAGAGGAGGCCTGCTTGGATCGTCGTCTGGGTGATGCGGGAGACGAGCGTCGGGAACTTGAGTGTGGGGTACGGGCCTGCGGTCGGGAGCACGGGTCAGAAGGAGCGTTGTCAGCTGCATTGCTTCACTACAGAACCAGGACAGGTAGGAGTAGGAGGATAGTAGGTAGTGCGTGCGTCTTCGGGCCGTTATGAAGCGAAGCTTCAGACCGTAGAAGAAGACTCTGTGGTCCGCTTGAAAACGCCAGTTCCAAATCCTCATGACACTCCGAGCGAGTGATCGACGACAGGAAAGTGCAGAGAACTCACCATCGAACACAAAGTGCAACTCGAGGCCGACATCAACCCATGCTCGGACGACCTGTTCAATCAATTCTGCAAAGCGGGCGTACTCGCCCCCGTAGACCCACGGAAGGTCTGCACAGTGGACGATCTCATAGATGAAGCTATAGAGATAGCAATAGCGATGGAAGTCGCGGAATAGTTAGCGACGGCAAGCATGAGGCGAGGACAGGGACTGACGACCAAGCATCGACGACTAGGGGTGTTCGCGGGCCATTATCTTCGGAGAACTGGGAGAGCTGGAGAGTGCGAGAGAGGATGGGTTTGCTTTCGCGCAGGTAGGTTGTGAGACCATGGACGCCCATGCCAACGATACATCGACGTCGCCTGGTGGAGAAGTGCAGAGCACTGCCAGATGCCTACTTACCCCGGAGAGACAAAACAAATGAAATGACGGAAGTGGGATTCGAACCCACGCCCTTTCGGACTAGATTTACACCAGTCAACCTGATTCTAGCGCCTTAGACCGCTCGGCCATTCCGCCCTGAAATAAACCCTGTGCGCCTCAATATATATAGTGCTTACAGCTCTTGTCAATGGGATAGGTCTTCAACCCCTCCCTTCCCCAAGTTCAATAGGTCCGTCCAATCGTCTGCCTAGGGGAGACAAGCTCAAAGTTGCCTCTTCCTACGCACTGGTCGCACTAACACAGTCTGCACAATCACAGTCAGCCATATCAACACGACGGACACGGCCCATTTTTTGGCTGCCAGAAATGACACAGAAAGTTATGTGCCAGGTTAACAAAAACTGGCACGTAACTTTCTGTGTCATACCTGGTGCCCGAAAAATTGGCTGTGCCCGCCGTGCAATGCACTGGTCAAAGATTGCAGGTCGAACATTGCGGTTTCTCGCTTCGAGTTGGGCTCAAACAGTGGGATCCCAGACAATCCAGCTTCTCCTGCTAGTACCATATCACCCCCGAACGCGTACGCGACCTACTTCATACCTTGTTCTCTGCAGCTTCAATGTCATAGATGACATGACATGGTGTCTTCTGTTGTCAATTCACACACTACGCAGCAACAGAACGCGTCAAATCCATCGCCTGTTGCGAGGCACATCTGACTCCTTGACGCATCTGTTCTCACCCTCTTGTTCAACCTGCGCTACCTTCTAGTGAGCGTTTGAGCTAACGTCACACAGCCTTCTCTTGTACTTGTGTTAGAAGTAGCTGGGTCTCGTCCCTTCAACTCAATCTACTTACGCATCTTCAACCCCTGGTATGTCTGTTCGAACTTGTGAAAGTGAGTGAATGGTGCTGACGCTCGTGCTTCCCCAGCAAAAGACCTACTGCCTTATTTTGCCTTGTTGGATGTGAGATTTATTTCCACGACGAATATCTAATGCGGGGGAGGGCTGACGTGAGTATCTCAGCAGCGACCCCTCCAACATGAGACTCATCAACACGACCACATATGAAGTCAAGGAGTTCTCGAATAATCTCCGGCCCTCAGAATACGCCATCCTCTCCCATGTATGGGGTGACGAAGAGATTACCTTTGCCGACATGCTTGACCTGAAGCAGGCTAGGAAGCGCAAAGGGTGGTCGAAGCTAGAGCGCTTTTGCTACATCGCCGCTCAAGACGGCTTCCAGTGGGTCTGGGACGACACATGCTGCATCAACAAGTCCAGCAGCGCCGAGTTCTCCCACGCAATCAACTCGATGTATGCCTGGTACAGCGAGGCCAAGGTCTGCTACGCCTACCTCCAAGACGTCCCCGACCTCAGCAAAGAAGACCCGACCGCGGAGGCCTCCTCCTTCCGTGGGAGCAGGTGGTTCACGCGCGGCTGGACACTGCAGGAGCTAATCGCTCCCAAGGTGATCCTCTTCATGTCGAAGAACTGGAAGCAAATTGGCACAAAGCTGTCTCTCGCCGAGACCATCCGGAGCATCACAAACGTTGATGAAGCTATACTCGCACACGAGCGGTTCCTCGACGACGTCAGCGTCGCACGTCGCATGTCTTGGGCTTCCGGACGGGAAACGACGCTCGTCGAGGACCGCGCCTACTCGCTAATGGGCATCTTTGGCGTCAACATGCCGATGATCTATGGCGAGGGCGAGAAGGCGTTCATCCGTCTTCAACTAGAGATTATGCGACAGACTCCCGATCAGAGCATCTTCGCCTGGGGCACTCTGCATGACTACCAAGTCTTTAAGGACAACGCGAACTCGCTATCCGACTACAACGAGTGGGCCGATCCCTTCCGATGCATCCTGGCCTCCTCGCCCAAGCTATTCGCCGGTTGCGAATACATCGAACCCGTGCTCCTTGAGGAGTTCAACACCCGACTCGGCGTCTCCATCGACTTCCCAGAGTCCTCCCCCACGAACTATGGCATCCAGCTCCACCTCCCTACCTACACCTTCGCTCCGAACCAGCGTTCATGTTTTGCTCTCTTGGCATGCAAGGATGCCAGAACCGACAATATCGTCGCGCTTCTACTCCGCCGCGTAAAAGGCAGCTCCAACCGATACTACGTCGGGATGCACCTGCTCAACCGGCCACTCACCAAACCTTGGCACCCGTACTTCCGCTCCTTCTCCCTTCCCTTCAGTAGATCGGAAGACGCCGCGAGTAGCTTACGCGTCACGCGCGTGTACCTCCACAGTCACAACGTTAACCCCCAACGTAGCCAGGCCGAAGGCTTTGCGAACCGGCAGCTCCTACTGCGCTCACCGCAGCCGAGATACATTGGACCACCCAGGCGGTTCGCATTCACCTTCCCCGGTTGGCTCATGGAACGCCTTTCTGGGGCTGGCTTGCGGACGGCAGGATGGAAAGACGAGAAGGCCGAAGCCGCAGGCCACGTCGGGTGGACGCCGATGAAGAGATGGAGACAGCACGAGCAGGCGCTCACAGTGACCTTCGACATGTTTCCTCCATCCAAAGATTCTAACATCACACGCCACGCCGTCATTCTCATCCGAGGGTCCGGAAACAACGTGAAGGCGCAGGCGTGCGCGTTCGCAATCGTGATCGGGGTCCTCGAGCCTGCGACGGTGTGGTGCGAGGTGCTGATCAAGGGCCCCAGTACTTCCGAGATCAACTGGGAGCGGACCAGCGACCACGAGGTTGCGAAGAGTATATGGCATGGCTTCGACGCTGTCGCTAGGGATCTTGAGAGGCCTCGAAAGCGAGCCATCGACGGCGCACAATGGGAGAACCACGCCAGGATCTTCGCGGACGGAGCTGCCGGTAAAGTGAAAATCGAATTCTCCCCGTGGTTTACACAGGGAGAGGTGAGCGCTGTTGGAAATTTGATGACCTATACGGTCAGGCTGTGGGTCGACATGAGGGATGTGAAGTTGTGGGAGAGTAGTGAACAAGAGAAGGTCGAACATCTATCGGGTTTGAGTTGTATCGTGGCACATACGTAGCGTCTTCTTCCCATTGCTCGACGTGTATTTTGAGCCATCACGAGCATGAGACCGGGAAAGCGAGCACCTGTGCATGAAGCCGAAACGCTGAGCTGCGACGCCAAGCGAGCGAACTTTGAACCCGGTGCACCTGAAGTAAGTGGGATGCGGAGCGGCGATTTGAACAACGCGCAGCTCCAGGGCAGGTTATCGATGACCACTATTCATATTGACAATCGAGATGTACTGGAGCGCATATGGGGCTACGGACGAGCTACACCTAGACCGGGCTGCTGTTTGAGGCGGCAACTCGATTAGATGCGGCGCACTCATATCCGACATCGAGTATGTGCATTGTGAACATCAGATAACACGGGTCACCTCATTTCATGCGCACGGTGCAGAATACAAAGAGCGGCTCCGCAATAATGGACATGTACCTTCAGCAGAGGAGTCAGTGCGGTACATGAACGAATGCCTAGGGCGCACCGTTCGCAGCTTCCTTCGTCAATATATACTGTCCCAAACACCAAGCAAAGCAATACGCCTACGTATCAGTGATCCGGCCGTTCCTCCAGCACGAATTCCAGTGTGTCCGCAATGTTGGTAATAAATTCGATGAACCGCCGAACGCCACAGACGATCCCATCCACGCCCGGAGGTGGAAAAATTTCGTCAAAAGGGACGTCCACGTCGAGCCTAGCGCGCATGGATAGAACGATATCAATTGTGTCATCATCGAGGAGGAAGGCGCGTAAGAAGGACGCACCCATGGTCCATGCAGTAACGCTCAGGATCTTCCGCATATTGCGCAGCACCAACCATGAACTGAACAGCGAGTTTGCCTGCTTTGAGGTTGTCGGCAATGTCTTGTTCGGAGACATCGTGATGCCAGGGACAGGACTTGCGCGCGTCTTTGCAACGACTGCTCACGGCGGGGTCTGGGTCCCGCTCTGCAAAGGCAGGGAAGTAGGTGATGAAGACGTCGTAGATTGGGATTTCGGTGTTAGCGCGCCAAAGATAATGGATGTGCTGAATGCCAGGAGCAACAGTGATGTCAGTATCGAGTCCAGAGAACAAAGAGGAAGATCGGAGGACAAACGAGCAAGCAACAGGCGTTTATGACCTCACGGTAAACTTTCCGAAATGGGGCTTGTAACTCGATGCACTTTCTGAGGGCAACGAGCTCTTCGGAGGTGAGTGAGAGGGCATCAGGTTGACTGAGAATGCGTCGTATTGTCTCAGTGCGAGCGTTACGTATGATCTCAAGGTGGACGATCAGTCTGAGAAGGTTGGGGATCAGCTGTGGGAGAAAGGAAGGCTCGATGATGTTTCGGACGGCGTAGATGACCAGGGCGAGAGGAGGGGATAACGCAGACGGCATGGCTTTTGCGACGTCGTTAATTGAGTCTGTTGGAAGCATGAATCAGATTGTCGGCGAACGGGGACGGACGTTGATTGGTTACCGAAGAGGTCGCGCCGGATGGATTCGTCGCGATACATGGCGTCGTCCATGCCCGCGACACGCTCCACAATGTCCATGAGCGCTTCAGCGTGAGCCATGGCGGAGAGAACAAGGGTGGACGAGAAAGGAGAGAGAAAGGAGGAGCGACGGTGGTGGTTAACACGACCGGAGGGCGGCGGAAGACAAACGAGCCATAAGGGGAGACGCGGTCACGTGCAATACGCGTTGTTGAACAAAGCACGCGACGCCCGGCGCAGATTCCCACGGTCTTTAAACCGTCGAGGCCATCGTCCGAACCGTGCCCGGCTGCGCTCCCAGTCCGCTCCTCGCCGTCCGCCGCGATGAGCTCGGCTCATCCTCTCCGCGAACGCCTCCAGTCCAACTCGCCCGACCCCGACCTCGCCCGCCCGACGACTCCGCTGCGCATCACCAAACACAGCTCCCCCCAGCCGCGCCAGGGACTCTCTCCCCGCCAGCCACCGTCGCACACGCAGGTACAGGTCGCGCGCCGGTCGTCGAACAGCTTCAAGCATGTGCGCGAGAACAACCTTGTCACCAAGTCCCCCTTCCGCACGCTTCTCCCTCAGTCTCTGGCGGCCTCCTCCTCGCCCCGTCGCGTCAGCGGCGAGAAGCGTCCCCGTCCAGTGTCGATGAA